ATGTGGCGGACCTCCAGGTTATATTCCTGCAAAAGTAAACTCCATCGAGTGAGTCGCACATTTTTGAATTTGAATTTATCCAGAAATTGCAAAGGACTATGGTCAGAATAGATGGTAACTAGGGGACCATAGGCCGGGACATAGATTTCGAAATGCTGCAGAGCCGAAAGAATGGCCAGTAACTCTTGCTCAATGACTGAGTAGTTCCTTTGGGCGGGAGTAAATTTCCTAGAGAAGTAACAGACAGGATGATTTACTTGTTGCTCGTCGGGCTGCATGAGAACTGCGCCCACCCCTGCCTGGCTAGCATCAACCGCCAAAGCAAAAGGCCTAGTAAAGTTCGGTGCCCGTAAAACCGGCTGGCCGCACAAGACTTCCTTGACTTGGGAGAAGGCGCTCTCACACTCCTCACTCCATGTCCACTTCTTCCCCTTTTGCAAGAGGTCAGTCAAAGGTGCCAACAAGGTGGAATATCCTGGCACAAATCGGCGGTAGTAGCCTACTACCCCGAGGAACCTCTGCAGAGCGCGGCGACAGGTCGGTGCGGGGAACCGTTTGATCGCCTCCACTTTGGCTTCGGGAGGAGTGATGTAGCCATGGCCCACCACATACCCCAAATACTGGACCCGTGCCTTAACAAAGTCACATTTGTCCAGATTGACCACCAACCCAGCCTCCTGGAGTCGTGCAAATAGTGCCTCCACATTGTCAAGGTGGTCCGACCAACAGGTGTCATAGATGACCACGTCATCGATGTACACGACGCAGTGCTGGAGACCATCCACCACCTGGTCCATCAAACGTTGGAACGTGGCTGGGGCATTTTTAAGTCCATAAGGCATTACTTGGCACTGATAGACTGCCCCATTAGCCACAAAACTGGCTATCTTTTTAGCACGGTCCGTGAGAGGAACCTGCCAGTAGCCCTTCACCAAGTCCACCTTAGAAATAAATGTGGCCCCGCCAATACGGTCCACTGAGTCATCCACCCGGGGCAGCGGGTAGGTGTCGGCCTTGGTGAGGGTATTGACCTTCCTAAAGTCAATACAAAACCTGACCTTACCGTCAGGCTTGGGTTGAAGGGTGACAGGCGAACTCCACTGGCTATACGTCCTCTTAATCAGGCCGTGCTCCAGCATATACTCCAACTCCTTCTCCACCAACTGCTGCTTCAGGGGATTCACTCTATATGGGGCCAGTTTAACGGGAGTGGACTCTCCAACATCAATGTCATGGTGAATCAGGCTTGTTCTGCCTGGGACATTATTGAAGACAGAAGGGTACTTTCCCAACCGCCGAAGCATCTCCTGCTTCTGCACCTCTCCCAGGTGTTGCAATTTCTCTTCAAGGAGCAGAGCACTGTTCTG